AAGACTTTATCGGCAGCCTTTATGCTCATATACATGCCTTTATTTGGTTATTCCCTATGCATTCACTTGTTGTTGGGCCTGATGTCAATGTCCAAGATTAGCCACGCGCGAATAAAATATACGACAACAAACATCGAACTTTAATCTTTTTATTACAGATTTTGTGTCGGTTTCTTTTTTTTCGTTGGTCTTGGATGTTTTGTTGGTCGCACAGCTTGAATGTATGTTCTTCATTGCGAAAATCTAAAACATACAGCTCATTGTTAACATTCAATTGTTTGGTCATTTTCTGCGGAAAAAATATTACTTCTGCTTTCACCGCAAAATACGACATGTCATCTGCATGATTCACCCAATTCTATTGTTTGATCTGGCTTTGACTAGGTTTCTCTCATTTTCATTTCAAATTGAAATTAATGTGATTTCAACGGTGGCACAATACAATTTGAAATCGAGCATTCATTTCACAATAAAATTGATTACTCATATTTTGTGGAAGTGTCTATTTTTTCTGATTTAAAATTGATTCAGTTTAATGACTAAACATTTCATTGGCAAAATACTCATATGGAAAATGCGCATTGATAACGGATTAAGAGCAAAAACAAACATTCAGATTATCAACATTAAGTGAACAGCTAAAGTTTATAATTTTGTAACAAAACTCGTTAACAGCATTTCAGAGAACGTTTTTGTTCTTCAATTGACTAATTTCTTCATTCATTTTTCATTGAAACTCTTAATACGAACATTTTCTATAGAACGTTTCATTTTTTTAAAAATAAAAAGCCGTTTTTTCCGGGGTTTCTTACGCCCACAATTTCTTGTGAAATGAGATGAGGAAAGACGAATATTTCATGAATAACTTTTCTTATTAATCGGAATTCTGTGTTACTCAATTCCTAGTATTTATATAATTTATTTTCACATTTAAAGAACACAAAAAATAAAGACATTTCATTTCCTACATCAACGTAATGGCATTGAATCGGTATTCCACTGATTTAAAAAATGTTACTAGGGATGCCAGATCGCCCACGGCGTTTGTGGATTTTCGAGGCAAAAACTAGGATTTTTTTTTACAATTTTTGTCGTCCTCTTAAGAATAGCTTCAATAATTTGGATTTTTTGTGGTTGTCAAAAGTGATAATTTTTGTAGTACTTTTGATATTGACAAATCCACCATCAAAAAAATTGTATTTCGCCCATATATATCTCTCTTGGATTTAGAAAAAAATCGCCGGATTCACTCGGCCCAACCAAAACTGGCATCCTGATTCAAACATTTAAAATTTCTTAGAAACAAAGCTATAGAAATGTTGGTGAAACACAAAAATAAAAACACTGCCGTCACTCGTGACATGGAAGTATCATGCCAAAAATCATTTGGATCAGATTATTTGAAGTAGAAAAATGTCAATTTTATTCGGAGTGGGCTTGAACTTTTCAACGGCATTGTATGTAAGCGAACATAGATGAATTATTTCCGGTCGACTCGATTATAATTTCAGAGATAGAAGTGATGATTGATGCAATATCATATAACTCACACATAAATGTTTGTTGTCAATTTTTCGCGCACAAAAATGTTGATATGGAATTATTATACTAATTATTTCAAGCTTTTACCGTAATAACATTAAATCCCTCTGGATTTTCATACAAAACTCTTCAAGTTCTCCTAACATTTCTCCGAAGACTTGATCCAAAAAAAGCTGTATCAAAATTTGGAACCAGGTTTTGCTCCTACAGTGATGTTTCTCGAGGAGTGTCATTTTAAAATGCTTCAAGTGGAATCGTTGCCATGGTCTGAACGAAGAAAAAACAAATTGAAATAAAAAATAACTACATAAAATATCAATCATTCGACTCGGAATGTTATACCTTATCAAGATAACGCTGTATGTGATTGTAATAAACTATTTCAATTAAATAGTTAATGAGCATCATACATCAATTAAATTTTAATTTCATTTTTGTTTAATTGCTATGATGTTGATATGAATTTATCATTTCGTACAAAAACAAAAAATCCACGAGGTGTAATATGGGTGACTCCGCAAACTATTTTCGTTACAAAGTGTGTGTGAACATGGCAAATTCAAAATGGGATAAAGTTTGATTGACTAATCTCATGCTATAGAAAGCATAAGAGCATCAATTAGCTCTTACATGCGCACGAAAAACGACATTGTGAGATAATGATGTGATAAATCGTTTATGTTTTTCCATTTCGTTCAATTGATTTTTCCCCATCTATTTGTCATTTGAGCTTCTCATTCAATACACTTTATGCTCTGTATGTGTGTGCGTGTGTTTTTTGTCATTGAAAAATGAGAAAATCGCATACTCGATAAAATGTATTGTAATCAAAGTTCATCATATGAACAAGAATTTATTTGAAAACGAATTGAAGAAGATTTCAATTACACATCAGGCTTCATGAAATTCACTCTCTCGTTTTTCTATTGTCTTCCATTGGAAGACTCTATTAAATATTCATTGGGGGGAGATTTATTAAGATATTATGCTATTTTCATAATGCGATATTGTTGCTAGTGCTGTTGCTCATGCTTTTCCAGCTGATACTAATGAAAGCAAACACATCAAAAATTGACATTCCAATGAAAAATTCAAGTCAAAACCATTTACATTCGCTCGAACGGATCAATCATTATTATTTTGACCTAATGATATTTATTTGATTGAGAAATAACTTTCAATTTCTGAAGAGCGTGTGCTTCAACTATATTTTTTTATTGACATGAGCTATGAAATTATTCACCTTTTATTAATCAGAAAGACTCCGTTATTCACGTCAATTGACTGTGTGTCTGCACCTTTGCCTTCTTGTTTACAATCAACATAAATCAATGCTCAAACGATATCGGTAGACGAAAACCCAGCATTTGTTTACACGAATGATGAGTATTTTCTTTATCAATGAGATACCTTACATTTGCTTTGCAGTCAAACGAAAATAACTGATTATATATGTATTATTCCGAGAACAAATACTCGCAGTTATGGCGATGCTCACTTAGCTACTTAAATAACAATGATGACAATATTTTATAAAAGCTTGAAGATTCTAAATGAGCAAGTTATTTTTACCGCACAATATTTCTCTGTAATAGCGAGCGTAGTTCTTCGAAGTTTGTCATGTTTGATGTTTCTATCATTTATAAATTTTTAAAATAAGATTAAGTGAACAGACGTTTGAACAAATAAACTAAAATTATGAACATATTTCGCTGCTCTTGTATCCCCTTTTTTACTGTTTTCGATTTTTTTTATTCCGAAAATATTGATGAAACATTGCAAAAAATGGAATCATTTTAAAAAAAAATGGTCCTAAAACTGTCATAAATTACATGCTATCAATGAAATGAAAATATGACAACTCAATATTCATACGTAAATCATCTCAAAGCTAGTATTAAATTCGTCATTCGACACCTGTCAATTTACTTATCAATACATAATTTGATAAATGTGGTCTGCTGTTTCATGAGCAACGAAAGTTTTTTGAGATTTGGAGATGAATCTATATGCAAAAGTTCCCACGAAAATTATAATATTCTATTAAACAATATAATTATCACAAAAGTTCGTTCATATTGTTTCTCAATTACTATTTTTTGTGCTTTTGGGCAGTAGTATCACAAACACCAAATGAATTCGATAATCGTTCAATGTCACTAATATAATTATCTATCGAATGTGATATAACCAATTCAAGGGAGAGCCTTTGAATGGACTTTGTAAACGCACTATTCGAGATGAATTATATATTGAAAAACATTTTATTAGCCGAAACTTACTTCTCACTATTTTCTGTTCATTATGTGAGATCGAACTGAAGTAAATGAAACCACTACCCTTTTAACTCTTACCTTTTTAAACATAAAAAACGCATTTTTAGTGAATAATGTCAACCGAATAATTTTGGATACCTTTAATTCAGAATGAGTTAAAATAAATCTCCAACACAAACAAGATGTATATTAAAGCATTTTCCAGCTGTTACTGATATTACATGATGATATATTTACGACTTATCACACTTCATTTCAATCTTGATGTATGAGTAACTGAAAAACTTGCATTTTTATGCACATTTTAACTGAAATAATTTCTCGATCAGATTTTTAACATGGTGCCTCAAAAAAATGTCATGTAATTAAATTTTTTTATATTTTCAGGTATTTAGATGGTTCGCGCTGATATACAGGAGCAACCAATTTGAATAAATTATTGCCCAATTTGTAAATTTCCATTTTTCTTGGCATTAATATTTATTGAGACAACCGTTGAACTGAATCACTCTACACCTTGTTTGAGTTGGAAACTTTTATTTTATTTAAATCAACATTACAGCATAAATAACCGAAACTTCAAGAATTGGTTTAGCGCCCACACATGAAACAAGAAATTCAAGATCAATTTGGTGTCTTTATCAAATCGACAAAATTACCCTCTAAAATATGTATGCTGTAAAGTTTATAAGCGCTCTGGCGCATTGCTCGATTGCAGCGATAAAATACGATAACGACGAACTGCCGAAAATACTAGGCGAAAATAGACTACAGGAAAAGAAAACGATGAAAATACAAGGATTTAAAATTTAAAGTGTTGTAAATAATTGCCCATTTTCCGAAAATATTTATGAAACTTCTGTTCATACCATAAATACAATGCCGTTGAATGGGAATAACTTTGGCCATTTCAGGCGATTAAGTTTCTTCTCGCTTGACGTCGCTCGCGCCCGTTTTTCTTCATACCATTGTATTTACGTTGGCAAAGTTTTTGAAACAAACAACTGCAAGCACACGGCTGCTCATACACTCTTACAAAAATGCACATATGCACACCGACTGCACTATACCGAATATGAAACATCGACATGTATGGCGTATAAAAGACGGCTTAGAAATGCCATGTTTTATTGCTACAATTAATTTTTAGTTAAATTAAAACGTCTCAAAACTGATACTTACATTGAATTTGTATGTTCTTTATGTTTGAGGAAACGATATCGTGATGAATAACACCAAACTTATTTATTTAAATCTTTGTTTAAAATTTTTTGCTGTCACTTGTGTTTCTGAATTATTATTTTTTCTGTGTTGGAAAGAAAATTGTTCACCAACGAAATTCACGCACAAAATTTTAATTGGCAACTTATTTATTGCATCAAATGTTGAAAGGGTGTGGATTCATTTGTGTAAGATGTTTTGTTTACCCATTTAATGCTGTATTTGATTGTTTTATAACGATCTTTAACGGTTGCATCATTTAATTTAAAGAATACCATTTTATGCCAATCGTTTAATTTAAATAATTTTTTCAATGGAAAAGTTTCCCTCATTTTTTGAATGCAACGTACAATTTAACTTGATTCACAAAAACAACAAACACACAGTCACATTGTTAAACGAAAGTGTTCCGAGAAAATTATGAATAAAAATATGCGAGACTAATACCTTCAAGCATCTGTCTGGTGTGAAGTACAAAGTGATACTAAAACGGTTGGCAGTTGAAATGAGCTGCTTTACTTGATCATCAACGTGAGTCTGATCAACCGTCGTCTGTTGAGGGAAAATATTTTCAAATCAATTGTCTATTAGCATAGTAGTAGCTGGTTGGAGTTGGAGTATAACAGCATGTTGTCCAATTCAGTTTCAGTTATTCGTTCTTTTCGCATGCGATGCGATTTTTTTTGTTGGTGGGAAAATAAGCTTACCGAAGTGGGTATCCTCCGTTTTGTACATCGCACCAACATCCAAATCCATCCGTTGTTCGTATTGAACAGCACGCATGTGACGTGTCTCTTTCGCACGCTTCGTGCGTGTGCGCTCGAGTGGTATTTTCTTTCAAGCAGTTTTTCCATCAACAAAAAGAGATTTTTCCGTTATAAGTAAACAAATATTTTCCTTAAACTATTCGCTTACTCACCCTCTACAAAAAGCTAGAGAATGGAATGCAAAACGCTTAGACTATAACGAAACTACATTGTGTTTCTTTTTACATTTTACTACTGTTAACCTTGTTGTTTCAATAGTTGAAATCTTCTCAGAAACCGCTCTTTGAATTTTATGTCTTTCAAGCGGTTTTCTGCGCTCCGAAAATACTTTCAATTAACTTACGAATTTGCGATAATTAGTGCAATACTATACTACTCATGGTTGCTAAAAATTGCCGACTGAACTTTCAGCTGTATTATTTCCCATGTCCTCATACCAAATCCCAGTTAGTTGACAAAATCCATGCACAGAAAATTTAGTCTACAGCCATCAGTAGCAAAGCATTAAACGCCGACATATACACAAGTGATATCAGTGTGTTTTTATTGTTGTTATTATTTACCAATGCTTGCGCTCAACTTTGTTTTAAAATACCACACAAAATTTTAATTAAAATAAGTTTACGCTTAAACGTGCATTAATGAAAGGTTTCCACTCATAAAATTATAGAATTAAATTGAAATTCGAAAAATAATAAATCGTGCAATTTTACCTAATTTCTAAAGACTCCTCAGATGAGTACAATCTATTCAGAGAATACATTTGATGCAAGTTACAAAGAAGACCCAGTTTTAAATGTTACCGCTTAAGGACGCGAAATGCGTCACACAATTGATTTTAAGAATTAACTATATTCATTGGTTCCATAAAAGCGCATTAAGTTGATTGATGTATCGCATTTCTGCTTGTAATTCCACTTCATACGACTTTCTTCAAATAAAGTGAGCTCCTCTTATTCGATTCATCATTGGACAGCTTTAGATTTTATTTGAATTTGAAAAAAAAAACATGAATTCCACTGAATTGATAACTTTTTCGAAGAAATTGGAAAACAATGTATTTTAATCTGTAAATCGAGTAGCGTTCGGAGCTCATTTCAAGACTCTTCACATGCAAGAGATGTAGTGTATTTTTTTTCATTCTTTTTTCTCAAGCTCTGAATTTGTCCTTGTCTGCATTATTACCAGATTATTAAAAAATTTGTCCGTAGTCTTCGCTAGACGTTTTACAAAAGTCCAAAGTCTGATAGATTTCTGCTTTTCGTAAGATCCTTATAAAATCGTTTCAAAATGCACATACTTAACTTCCAAACCACTGAAAGAGTGAGAGAAATGAAAATGATTTCATTCGTTTTCATTACACTTTTCAATGTTTTGTTTTTATTAGTTTGTACAAATCATATATATATAATATGTATTTATATTGGTATTTGAATACAATTCAATTAATTTTAGTCATGCATACTTCAATGCGATACGATAACATTAGATAAATTTAAAAAAAAAACCTATTCAAATAGTTTGCGAAATAAAACTGGTGTTTTGCATTCATATCGCATTTGTTATTTTTAAAAATGTTCCTAATTCAATATCAATAAGAACTGATGCATCACAATCGGTGTATTTCGATGACTATTTCCAAAAGTTTGGGTTCTGTTGAAGTCGTCGTTCAAAGTTTTGATACCATGTTTGAATCGTTGATAGTGGAACAAATGTTTCGGTTGGATTTGGCACCATTTGAGCCTGGGTCACGGCAAAACTGCTCACAAAATTTATGAAATTCTCAAGCATCTTCTGTCCGAATTGAATGTAATTCGTTGGGCTGGTCTAAATTCGTGTACAAAATCAAAATTACATTTAAAATCACTTTTGAATGTGAATAAATTGTTTGCTAAAAACCAAGAATGAATTCTATTTACCGTTGCCGGTTCGAGTTGTGTGACAGTAGCTTCTGGTTCAATTGAAACCCCAATTTGTGCGGTATGTGAGATCGGCTGTGCACCAAACACATTAAACTGTGACATTGCCGCTGACAATCCATTTGTTTCCATTTCGTCCAACTTTTTCAACGTTGATATTTTGAAAATTGCCGATGGCTTATTATTTGAAATATAACCTAATATGTATTGGAAAGTAAAAATCGATTAAATTAACAAATGGCATACAGATACATTTAACATTTACGATGGATTCTTTACCTAAAAATTGCCAACTTGGCGGTGCAACTGGATCAGGCCAGCTGAAATAAACAGCACCGGCCAATCCGACCGGAATGGCATCCGTTAAAAAAATCACAATGTGATTGATATTGTCGGCTTCTGGAATATTGAGTAAAAATTTTCCTTCGTCTACTTGCTGAAAATCCATTTGGACCTAAATTTGCAATGAAGTATTCGAAACATATGCATTCGAATTATTTACAAAATTATTATAAAATGTGCTCAACAGTTGATTTTTTTTCCATTAGAATGTTCTAGATAGAATTTTGCTCACCAATCGTCCAGATACAATACACCCCAACATTTCTGAACACTATTCAGTCGCACGATAATCAAATGAATTTGAAAAATTAATTACAATTATCCAAAAGATAGAAATGATTAAATCAGACGAATTGAATCAATGCTAGAAAAAAAAAATTCTTCTGGAAGGAAATTAAGTTCAAAACGTAAACAACGGAGAAAAGTGAAGAGTTTTTAGCGAATATATTAATGCGTACATATGTTAGTTGTGTGCGAATCGGACCGCAACATGAGTGTGTGGTAGTGATGAATATGTCATTTAAAATAAAATGGATGAGTTTAATACCCAAACTGTCACTTTAAGGTTGTTTCACTTGTTTTGCTCTCGCAAAAACAACATACAGAGTTTTTGTTTACAATCGGAACATTTAAATTTGGAATTAAATGAGTGATAAAAACAATTCGACGAAAGATACTACGAAAGACGGGATAAAATGGAAAAAATATGCTGAAATTTATGATCCTATTCGCATTGGATCAATCGATGGTTAGTATTTTTTTTTATCGACCGGCGACGCTCGGAATTATTTAATGCGTGCATTAACTTTTTGTTAAGAATTTTGAAAAGGAAACTATTTAATAAATTGATTGGATTTTATTCAGGAACCGACACAGATCCACATGATAATGGCATTGTACGAGCCATAAACTCACATTACAAACCAAATGAACGAGTTGTAGGCAATCCAAAGCATACCATTTTCATTGGAAGGCTTCATCTCAGAACTGATGAGGTAAATACCACCACCATAGTAATACACAATTGAGAATTTAATTGAATAAACGAATGAACCTTTTTTGATGATTAGAAAACTATCAGGCGAAAATTCCAACGATATGGTAATATAGTAAATCTGCGTTTGGTACGTGATGCTGTAACTGGTATTTCGAAACAATATGCATTCATCGAATATGATTCAAGCGCAAGTGTCAAAGATGCGATTTATGATATGGATCAGAGAGTGATCGATGAACGAGAGATTATTGTCGACGTTGAACACGAACGCCAGCTTAAAGGATGGAAACCACGACGTTTGGGTGGAGGTTTTGGTGGTAAAAAAGAATCGGGTCAATTGAGATTTGGATGTAAAGCACGACCATTTCAACGACCATATGACAGCAACAAGCCAATGACAAGCTCCCAAATGAAGGAAATCTTTCGACACCAAAAATGTCGCAAATGATTTTTCGATATTATGCTAATTTGTACATACATTGGAAATATTATATTTAAAAAAAATGAAATAAAAATAAAATAAAGAAAAAAATCTCTCAAAATAATAGAAATTCAATTATTTCCCATTCTAAAAAAGGTACACCAATGATCACACAAAATATAATAGAATACCAAAGGATATTTAAATTTAAATATAAATAAATTTTATGTTAATACATCGTGCAACCCCAACACAAAATTGCCGACTGTTGTCAAAAATTGGCGCGCAAAAAGATAGCATTACTATTGATGATCGGTTGAGTTGAGTCAGCGAATCAAAAATAAAATTAAAGTACGATAAATTCAAGGAAGTCAAAATGAGCGAAGTCCAAAAGGAAAATATTGCATCCAATGGCAATGCATTGTCATTCGATCATGATGAATATCAGTATTTGAAGTTGATCAAAGATATCATCGAAAAAGGTTTATTTTTGACAGTTTTATTCCATCGACAGTCATCTCCAATTGAATTTCTTCTGATATTTTACAGGAAAGAAACGCGGTGATCGTACTGGCGTTGGAACTGTATCAATATTCGGTGCACAGATGCGTTTCAATTTACGCGATGGTATTTTTCCATTGTTGACGACGAAACAAGTATTTTGGCGTGGCGTAGCTGAAGAATTGTTGTGGTTCATCAAAGGCAGTACCAATGCAAAAGAGCTACAAGCGAAGAAGGTTCGCATTTGGGATGGCAATAGTACACGTGAATTTTTGGATAAAAATGGTTTTCATGATCGGGAAGAAGGCGATTTGGGACCAGTGTATGGATTTCAATGGCGTCATTATGGTGCTGAATACAAAACATGCCACGATGACTATACCGGAAAGGGTGTGGATCAATTGAACGAAGTTATTGAACGCATAAAAAATAACCCAAATGATCGACGCATTATTATGAGCGCATGGAATGTTGTTGACATACCAAAAATGGCATTGCCACCATGCCATTGTTTTGTTCAATTTTATGTTGCTGATGGTGAATTATCGTGTCAACTCTATCAACGTTCAGCTGACATGGGACTTGGTGTTCCATTCAACATCGCATCATATGCCCTCCTTACGTACATGATTGCTCATGTCACTGGTTTGAAACCGGGTGATTTTGTACACACACTTGGCGATGCACACGTTTATTTGAATCACATTGAACCGTTGCAGCAACAGGTAGGCGCTTGATAAATTAGACTTTAAAAAAATCCTTGTTTTTATTTGTTTTTTTTTTTGCGTAGATACTTCGTACACCAAAAGCATTTCCAACGTTCCGCTTCAAACGCAATGTTGAACGGATTGAAGACTTCGTTTTCGATGACTTTGAAATGATTGGATACAATCCACATCCAAAGATCGAAATGGCAATGGCAGTCTGAGGGGAATCTCAAAATTACTACAAAAAATTTCAATTAATATAACATTACTATTCAAAGAATAAAATAAATCGGAACAAAAGTGATAAAAAAAAATAAAGAGCTAAAATGGTTTAGCAAAAATTAATTTATTATTGTTTTTTTTTTTTTTTAAATCAATGCAGTGAAATAGTTTGAAAAAGAATTTTATACAAGGGAGTTTATCTTTCATAAGCCAAAATTGTGATTCGATTTATCACTGGATAACGGCTGCATTTGCAACAACACTAGGATTATTCACGACCTCACCCAAACTATCCAGCACTTCTTTACGATAGTCATCAAAGTCACCTTCGATCTACGAATGGAAAATTTTATGGAATTTTTGTGCGCACAGATAAATCTGAAAAATAAATAAATGCTTACCTCATTGATAGTTTGATCTTCGATGACATATAATGTACAATTTGTTTCTCGAATCAACCGTTCGTCGTGGCTCACAATAATTACACCGCCATTGTATTCGTTGATGGCTTCAGCCAATGCATCAATCGATTCAATGTCCAAATTATTGGTCGGTTCATCAAGAATCAATACATCCGGAGCACTCAAACACAATTCAGCCAATGCAACACGCGCCTTTTGACCACCAGACAAATCCTTCATTTTGATGGTATGCGCATGACTAATCAAACCAAACGATCCCAATGCTTTTCGCGCTTTTTCATGTGGCAAATCGAATAAACGTTGTAAGTATTCGGCCGCACTTTCTTCAGCTGTTAAATGTTCGCCGGAGTGTTGATCAAATCGACCGATATGCTAAAAAAACAAAAATTAAATTAATTTTTGCGTTTTTTTACGGATGAAAAAAAAAAACCTTGGACATACCAAACGATGGTTTTTCCGTTGTTCGCCTACTTTCGGCTCTAATTCGCCAACTAATAATTTCAAAAATGTTGATTTTCCTACACCATTTGGTCCGACAATGGCAACACGACTATTTAAATCAATACCGAAATCGGTTTTGACAAACAATGGTGCTTGTCCATCGAAATTAAATGTGACATCTAAAAACATAAAAATATGTTTTATAATTTTGTCAATATACTGCATTTTCTTTTACTGTTGACTTACTGTGAATTCCCAAAATTGGCGGTTGCAATGGTGGTGGTTCGGGAAATCTAAATTTAACAATGTAGTCTTTTGGTTTCGATAATAGTTCTTGTGGTGCATCATCGTCATCGTTCTTTTGATTTTTGCTACGATTCTTTTCTTGTTTTCGCGTTAAAACTTCCTTTTGTTTCTTTTCGGCTGCTTTTTTCGATTGTCCATGTGCTTTCAAATCTTTTATACGTTTCTCTTGTTTTTCAAACTCTTTCAATTGTTCACGACGCTTTTGCACAAACATTTTCTTAAACATGGAATAATTCCCCTTGTAATAGTATAATTTTTTATTGTCTAAATGAATGATTTCATTGCAGACATTGTCCAAGAAACTCTGGTCGTGAGAAACAATCAGAAGGGTTTTCTTCCATGATTGCAAATAGCTGAAATACGAAGAGAAAAAAAAATGTGAACCATGAGCAACATTTCAAGAATTAAAAAAAAAATCATGTGTGACTCACTTATCGAGCCAAATAACAGCGTTCAAATCCAAGTGATTGGTCGGTTCATCGAGCATTAAAAGTGTTGGTTCCAGATAAAGTGCACGTGCAAGCGATACACGCATACGCCAACCACCGGAAAAGTTTTTCGTTGCACGATCTTGCATTGATTTCGAAAAGCCCAAACCGGCTAAAATACGACGAGCTCTTGGTTCGGCCGAATCGGCATTGATTGCTTTCAATTCAACATACACTTCATTTAATTGATCTTGAATATCCAAATCGCCACCTTCAATTTTTTCTTCCAATTCTTTGCATTCGTCCAATAATTTCGTACGTTTTACATCGGCATTTAAAATTGTTTGTACGGCGGTAAAATCATCGGCTACCACTTCTTGTTCACAAAGCAATACATCAATATTTGGTGGAATTGCAAATGCACGCGTTGCTATGTGACGCAATAATGTTGTTTTACCATGACCATTTGGTCCAACTAAACCATATCGACGGCCGGCTGCAATGAGTAAATTTGCATTCACAAACAAATCATTTCCTTTTGCCGAAATGGTGAAATTTTCAATTTTTATGTCAACCGCATGCTCCAAGGCCGCTTTTTGTCCGCCACTCTTTTGCACTTGTGACATTGTAAAATTCGAATCTAGTTCCGATTGACCTTGGCCACCCTTTTTCGTAAGCGCTTCCATTTGTTGTATATATTCTTGTTGTTTTTTCAATTTTTTCTTCTCTTTGTTTGTAATGCGTTTTTCCTTCTTTTCGCTTACTTCCTCTTCATCGTTCACAGGACTAGGCGATTTCGTTGGTTCCGTTGGGCTTTCGACTACTGGTTCTGGTTGAGGCTGAGGAGTTGGCAGAGCCTCAGGAGTTAGCACTTTTTCGGGCTCTGGTTCGATTTTCGGTTCAGGCTCTGGAGTTGCTACTGGCTCATCTAATTTCACTTTTGCCAATGATTCAGTTACGATATCTGTAAATATTTATGAAATTTTATTGAGCATAATGTAGTGGACACTTGTTGAATGCTATCAAATTTTTACAAAAAGACAGAAATTGTAAAATTCAATTTACCTTCAACTTCATCGAGTAAATCTTCATCATCTGAAAGTGGTGCATCTGAGAGTGGTTCATATTCAATTTCTATGACTTTTTTGTTTTTCTTATTTTTCTTCTTGTTGGTGGCAATTTGTGCAACTGGAAACTCATCTTCTTCCACTTCAGATTCATCCTCTAAATCCAATTCGTCTTCGTTTCCATCTGACCAGTCATCATCTTTATCGCCGTTTTTGCCTTTCTTTTGGGCCGATTTCTTTGGCGCTGGTTTACTCTCCTCTTCGGCGTTATCATCAACAGGCCAATCATCGTCGTTTTTACTTTTCTTGCCCTTTTTCTTTGACTTGGCGATTTGTGCGATTGGAGCTTCTTCCTCTTCGGATTCATCTTTCAACGCTAATTTATCATCGTCTCCATCATCATCAGACCAATCACCTTTTTTGCCTTTTTTACCTTTCTTTTGGGCCGATTTCTTTGGCGCTGGTTTACTTTCTTCCTCTTCGTTATCATCTGACCAGTCATCATCTTTCTTTCCTTTCTTTCCCTTTTTCTTTGATTTTGCTTGTTGTTTGGCTGGCGCATTTGATGAAACTTCACTTGCATCATCGCTGGCAGCATCATCTTCATTATCCGAATCCTTATTTTTGCCCTTGTTTTTCTTCTACAAATACACAATATACACTACTATTTAGTTTTCTATTCAATTGATTTGGCCAAATGTACAACATTTCAATGTATTTAAAGATTTGCTGAAATGTTCACACATTTTGGATTCTCTTCAATTTTACCTTATCTGATTTTTTTGAGATTCCAACTGGTTCGTCATCGCTGTCATCTCGTTTGCCTTTACCTTTTCCTTTCTTCTTTTTCGACGAAGACTCCTCGATATCGAAAGTTTCTGGCTCATCATCACTCCAATCGTTTTTGCCTTTTTTACCTTTGGCTTTGCCACCTTTCTTCTTTGAAGCTGCCGATTTCGAGCTGACACTGGTGATATCACTGTCTGCTACCGAGGATACTTTGCTGGCCGTATCATCAAAATCGTCATCAAAATCCTTCTTCTTATTTCCACGTTTCTTCGACATTTTTCGTTTCTTTTCTCAATGTAACTCTCGCAAACAAAAAAAAAACTTAACACGTAACAAAGAAAACAAAAGTGATTGGATTTTAAACTCAACAACAAAATCAAACTTATTCACATCGAACAAAATTGTCGGAAATGAAATGAAAATCAGCACATATGTGTCACACACTCACTTTCCCTTACAAAAATTTCTTTTGATTTCGAAATTCGTGTACTTTAATTACACAAATGTGTGCAATTTGGTGATCGTGAACGTAATTTATTCTAACACGTTCAACGTTTTACGTTCCTTTTCACACACCAGTCGCGTGTATGACCAATTAAAAACTAAAATGTCAAAATTACAATCACATGTGCGTGCTCCAACACATACATTCACGCGCTTCGTCGCATTCACTTCGCTTCTCTTTCACACTATCTTTGTGGCTGCTACTTTCTATCTGTCAAATGTACTTTGGCCTTAAATTCGTTTCTCATTCAAAAAAAACTCAATTCACCACACATCAAACAATAAACGGAGTACTCAACATGTTGTGCATTTGAGCCGGTTCGATTATTTCAGAAGATAAAAAACGTTTTTACTGACCAAAAATTGATTTTTCAACATTGATTTTTTTCTTACTCTGTTTAAATTCAATCTTTACCATTTTCTGGAAATATAATATCATAGTTGCCAAATGGAATAATTTTTCAACGGCACAGTTTGGCCAACTGAAAATACAAAAAAAATGCGTCGAGAACATTTGCGATGTGCATTAAATGTGAATAGCATTCGTATGGTGAAATTACTCTGAATGACTGTCGTATTTTGCTTGTCATTCGATTACAGCGAAAAGATAGAAGCGCTTATCCATCAAAATAGTTTGATATTTAGATTCATTTAGTGAATAGAGTTTAGCGGTTTTATGCACCATTGTTTTCACTGAGTTATTACTTACAATCAAAGTTTTTTTTTTTCTATTTCATTTGAAACGTAAGTAGAAACTGTTGTGCATCACCAAAGTTCAAATACAAATATCAATAAAATATTGGCAAACCATTTTTTTTCGTTGCTTGGAATGGGATTTATCGGTTTTTTTTTCACATTGTTTCTATAAATACATAACATCGACAGACACATTAAATCCGCATTGATTTTCTGGCGTGTGTGTCATCGCATTTTTTCTTCTTCTTTTTGTTTTTTATGAAATGACTCATTTTTTTTTGTTTCATTTGATTAAAGATTCGATTCACATAAAACATGGAGGTGTTGAGTGCACACTTGAAAGCTATTCGAGTTCCATGCGGTTCGGATAATGTCTATAAAGATGAATGCGTTTATTCATACGACACACCGGTAATTGTTTGAATCGTTTTTTCCCCTTTTTTATTTCTACTTTATTAATTGCAATCATATATTTCAAATGTAGGAAACTCCAACTGGACTGTATGTGAGTTTATGGTCCTTCCTTGGTTTTGGTCATGAATACGTTGAAGGTTATTATAAAAAGACTGGCAATGCTGTATTTTTACACATTTATCGTGAAAAAATTGAAATACCCGGATCAAATGAAACACAAAATGATGGTCCCGAAAAGAAAATCACACGATTGGCAATTGGCGTTGAAGGCGGTTTCGATCCAAATGAAAACAAACGAAAATACGAATACAAAGATCATTTGAGTGTGGTTGTTTTTCCGAATGCCGTTAAAATTCCATATCCAAACATTGATTTGCCATTGTTGGTGAGTAACTTTTTGAATAAAGTAGACGCATTTTGAATGATGATAAATTCAATTTTTTTTTTTTCATCCAATATTTATAGGTTAGCAATGCCGTCGAAGCGATTATGTCAGCCGAATCGGTGACTAACAAATTGGAAAAAGATGCACTCACTGGTACTTGGGATGGTGAAAAGCGTCAGGTATCGCAATATGCAAACAATTTACAACAATTAGACAATGGAAAGAAAATTCCACCATCCGGATGGAAATGCGAAAAATGTGATTTAACCAATAATTTATGGTTGAATTTAACGGATGGTTCGATTTTATGTGGTCGTCGATTTTTCGATGGTTCCGGTGGCAATGATCATGCCATTCAACATTACAATGTATGCGGTTATCCGTTGGCTGTTAAACTGGGAACAATTACCCCAGATGGCAAAGGCGATGTATTCAGCTATGTTGAAGACGATATGGTTGAAGATCCAAAATTGATTGAGCATTTGGCACATTTTGGTATTAAATCAAATCAATTGGAAAAGACTGAAAAATCAATGGTTGAACTCGAATTGGATTTGAATCAACGAATTGGTGAATGGAGCATTTTAACCGAAAGTTCAAGCAATCTGGAGCCAATCTGTGGGCCCGGTTACACTGGCATGAAAAATCTTGGAAATTCATGTTATATGAACAGTGTGATGCAAACATTATTCACAATTCCCGACTTCATCGATCGTTTCGTCACAAAATCATCGAAAATTTTTGAACGTTACCCCAATGATCCGACCAATGATTTTGATATTCAATTGTAAGCGAACGTTTTTTTTCTCACTTTTCATTTTTTTTTATCGTAGTTTAATAATAATTGTAAATATCTTTCAGTGCAAAGCTTGGTACCGGCTTATGGAGCGGTAAATATAGTGGCGTTGCCGATAACACATTGGACTCAGATAATACTGGTATTACTCATTCATTATTAACTTGCATTTCCATTACATTCCATTATGTTCCATTACATGTTGATTAATTTACATTATTCGTCTAGGTATTTCGCCGGTTATGTTCAAAAATTTGATTGGAAAAAATCACAAAGATTTCTCCAGCAAATTACAACAAGATGCTCAAGAATTTTTACTGCATATTATCAGTGAATTGCAAAAGCATAGCCGCAACGAAACAAATCCGGCCGATGCGTTAAAATTTTCGGTCGAAGATCGTCTTGAGTGCTGCGCCAGCGGCAAGGTGAAATACACGAAACGTGATGAATATTGTCTGCCATTGCATATTCCATTGCAGAAAGCAACAAATGCAGCTGAGGTTCGGGCATACGATCTAAAAGTGACCGAAGCTGAGAGTCGTGGTCAAAAGATTGATCCAAATTTACATGTTCGGCCACGAATTCCATTGCAATGTTGCTTAGATCGTTTCGGTCAGACCGAAATTGTTGAACAATTCTATAGCACGGCAATTAATGGCCAGACAAATGCAAAGAAAACCACCCGTCTGGCAACAATGCCCGATTATATAATTTTGCATTTGAAAAAATTTACATTGCGTGAGGATTGGACATGTGTTAAGCTTGATGTTGCTGTTGAAATTCCTGACATTTTGGATTTGGGATCGTTGCGTTCAACCGGCTTGCAGCCGAATGAAGAATTATTGCCGGAGTTGGATCGAGAACCACCACAACCTGAACTCAATGAAACATTTATCGCTCAATTGGTCGATATGGGCTTTCCAATTGACGCATGCAAACGTGCTGTATTCTTTACGAAAAATGTCGGCCTTGAACCAGCCACACAATGGATCATGGAACATATTTCGGACAGTGATTTCGGTGATCCATTTGTGCCACCCGGCACAGATTTATCAAAGAATGCAGCTGCATTTGTGCCAGATGCATCCGGATTGGAGATGCTTATGAATATGGGATTTAATGCTGTTCAAGCAACAAAAGCACTTAAGGAAACAAACAACAACGTCGAACGGGCCGCCGATTGGATATTCTCTCATCAAATGGAAATCGATAACTTGGAAGATGGCATCGAAATTGAGACCATTGAGAATGCACCAGCACCAGCACCAGAACCAACTGCAGCTCAATCAAATCAACGGGATGGAGACAGTCGTAAGTGATTTTTCGAATCGAAATGATTATTTCCGGTTTTAATTGTTTGTGTACATTTTTTTATGTGTTTCAGAATACAAATTGGTCGCATTTATATCGCATATGGGCTCATCATCACAAGTCGGTCATTATGTGTGTCACATTTTGAAAAACGATAAATGGGTTATATTCAATGACAGCAAAGTTGCCATTTCACAGAATCCTCCAAAGGAATTAGGCTATTTGTATTTGTATCAACGGCTCTAAGTCAATAATGATTCGAATAAGAAAAATAAAACATCATCATTCAAAGCAACATTTATTTTCGCATAACCTCATCGAACTATAAGGCATTTAAAATGTAGTAATTTTTGAATATAATTCAAATGATTCATCTAAAACAAATGGAATTAATAACAAAAAAGGCAACAAATAAATCAATCAAATTTGAAAGAAAAATCGCTTCAAAAAATCTCTTTGTTCAACAAGATTTTTTTCATAAAATTCAGTACAATCTATGAATAAAGAAATATTTGCGCAAAAACATTGCTATCGGGGTTTTCTTTCTTTCTTTGGCACTATTTTCCTTTTTTTCAAAATAAAATTGCTGTATTGGATTGAAATAAATCTTTTTCGAGACATATTTTACTCGAAAGTAAACTCATTACTTTGTTGGGTTATTTCCCGGTAATTTATTTTCGAAGTGGAAGAATGAAGACAAAAAATTAGATTTCCTTGGACTGCAACCATTTTTTTTTTTTTTTGAATACGATCATTGTATTTTCGGCCAAAAATTGAAACGCCTTCGTTTTTTACCGTGAACAGAAGATATTTTGAACGTTGCAAATGTTGGTTAGTATTGTGCTGGCGCAACAAACAATTGAACAAAATTACCGAATTCCAGAAAATGTTGATGTCAATGAACGATATCGTGTATTCGACTCGGCTTCAGATTGGCGGCTTATAAGCGCCCAGTGAAAACAGAAAACAAATTTTAACAAGCTTATATGTTGTACATTTTTTGAATGCTACGGAATGTCTTTGACACATTTATGAGAAATGCTTGTGTGTGTTTTGGATATTCGGTGAACAGTTGATGGGATTAAAAGTGTCACGAGCCGCAAAAGTGGTTGTTTATTTCACAAATACAAGATAGTTGGCCTTAATGCAACGCACGATGCAACGTCAACAAATATTTCGTATGAGTGGAGCAATGAGTTTCTTTATTTTTTCTTGTAATGCAATAAATGACACCTCTTGAAACACTTTCAAAAATCGATTCAATCGATTTAAAAACATACCATTCCATTGACCGAAATTCCAGTCATTTTTCTATAATTTATGATAGGTTTAGATAAAAAAATAAAATAAAGGAAGAAAATGTCAACAGGGTTGTGAGAGCTATTCACTTTAGAAATCTGCATCGGGGCGCATGTGGGGGCATTTTGTGAATTTCATCGAGGACCATGGGTGGCAAAAATTGCACCGCCATATATTTTCATTGTGAATTTTCATATTTCTTCTTCTGAAAATGTGGATTATTCTGTGGCTCACTGCTGCAACGAATAACTTCAATCAAATTGAGTGTTCGCTCAATCTCATCGAGCTTATTACCTGTAAGCAAATAAAAAATGAAACCAGAATTAAACAAAGCAAATTAAAAGTAATCATTGATTTTTCCAGTTTTATCGCCTCCTTTCGAATCGATGTAGATCTTCAATTTTTGTGCACCTTTGAGCTTCATGCGTTCTCCATCAAACTGTACAAAATTAAATTTTGCAAACGGTACGGTATTGTTGATAAAGACTATTTTTGTGAGACTGGCTACTACTAATTGTACTGGCCATTTTGTTGCCAATAATGCCAGAATAGTACAGGCCTTCGATATTTTGAATACATTCTTCAAACGATGCGATGTATTTCTCGGCAGCTCCAACAATATGCATAACTTTCGTTGGAAATTGCAATTTAAATGTGATTTACCGTCTTCATCACCGCGTTCCCAAAGCATTTTTGCATCGATCGTTGTTTTTTATTCGCTTCAAATCAAATCTTTTGTTAAAACTGTCGAAATAAAATGCAAAATTAATTGAAAATCACTGACCGGCTTATCGGACGCAAAAAAATGATAGAAATTACCGAAATTTGAAAAATTCAATTCACTGTGCACAGATGATAGGCTCTTTTTGAATTTTGTGAATGCAAAATGGCGAATAATGAAAAAGTTAGCAATTTTTAGCTAGTCAAAACATTCATCCAACTCTTTTGTGGTGTGAATGTTTGTGAATGTTTGATCCTGGTGTTTCGTGTGTGAATAGTTTTCTTACTTTGAGACATGAACACAAGCATTTATAACATTTGCCTGAGTGTGCGTTAGACACTCGATGAAATGTGATATAATGAATATGCCAAATGTCGCCAATGTTGATTTCATAACAATGTTTCATGTTGGTTTCATTAAGCAGCGTCTGCATCAACGCTTCGATGAAGAGAGTGTTTTCTTTTTCGAACATTATTATTTTTCATGATATTAAAAGCAACATTCATTTTTCAACAAAATTGATTTTTTTCTTCTCTGAAATTCTTCAACATATGCTGAACTTAAAATAAATGGTACAATTGACGCAATGAAAACCAAAAACCATGAATAAACTGGGGGGTAAAATTTTGATCATAAAATATATATATATATTTTTTAAACATATTTTGAATTATGAATGTAAACATTGAAAAAGAAAATCACGAGTTTTTTTTGTTCTTCTTCAAAATAACTAAAAATAATTAATCATTGAAAGGGAATTAAAAAAAAAGAACCGTTCCAAAAAAGTTAATAAAAATTTCGGAAAAATGTCCGAAAAACAAAACAAAAATAATGTGTATGATAGTGCTTATAAAAGAAAATTAATTCTGTAAAAAATTAAAGATGTTTTAAATGCGGGCACGCATTACTTCTTGCTCTCTTTGAATCATATTAACCGACTGAAGATAGTCATACAATATGTTAATGTAATCATCACGATATCGTTGGAAATGAGCCACATGCGATGATTTATCCCAGCACTTCCAATCGCAGCGTATACCAAGCGATTCCCATGAGTTTCTTACAGCCAAATTCGAGTTTACCGAACCGATTGGATCCTTGTGTGATAACAAAAAGAGAGCTGGCTTCTTCACCAAAGTGCTGTGAAACATTTGGCTCGAGCGGATGTAATGCGATGTGGCCGGTTCGTGGAATGTCTTCAAATGATATCTGTATAGAAAATTCAAAGTTATTGTATTTTCAGAAGAAAAAAATCATAATTTTTGGACCTTATTTTCCAAATGAAACTTACATCAAATAATTCTTCAATGCACGTTCTAGGGTGTCATTTTTAGGGAATACGGCTTTTGGTACACCAATAGTGAGCTCTGACAATTCAACCGCACTATCCCATACTTGTCCTTGAATATTATCTAATACATGTCGATATCGTTCAATGTCCCGTGACATGTGAACCATGCATTCGCCCCAGAAATAAGCGCCAACCGAAAAGCCATGCAACAGCACCGGATTTTTTGTGCTCACATTATTTGCTAGAAATTTGACAACATCGGCGGCAACCAGCTGTGTTCCTTTTGTTGGCCACATAACTTGCCACGGTGTAACACTCACCGACATCACATCAAATCCTTGGTCAATATAAAGTTGAGCATATTTTTTAATGTGATTCGGTTTTGCCATTAGCCATTGAAATAAAACGACCAACGGTTTATCGAGTTCAGTTTTTAATCTGTCAAAAAGACACATATGGTTACGCATTTTTGATAATCTTTGAATTGGCGTAAAATTTAATTTGAAAACACCAACCTTAGTGTGGTTTCATCCTTTTCAATGCATCGCTTTTGTTCGCTCAACAAACGCATGTGTTTTGTAATTTCATGAGTGCTAATTGAGCGAAGCTGTGAAAATGCTGCCAAATAACTGCGTTCAATCTAAATGACGGAAATTGGATAAAAGATTAGTGTTGACAATGTAATCAAACCCATTATAGAGTATATAGAATATGCAAAACGAACAGATGATCGAAAGCTTGCCTGTTTCTTTGTTTCCGTTGTATACAATGATATATGGGTTGTGTCATTATTAAGTGAAACCTTGCAAGTGCTCGAGCACTAGAGTGTCAATTGTAGTTGAATGACAAAGGAATGAGTTTCATTCTTTTTGAATTCATGCACATAAAAATAGACGATAGTTTGCATTAAAATACACAATACAATCAATAAAATGACCTTCGATAAAAATTCAACGTTTAAATGCAACGGAATTGGAAAAAATATTGGTATAGATGTGTACACAAGAAACGTATCACTTAATGCAAGTCAGTAAAAGAGGTGCAATTTTTTTGCATTTGGACATTGTCAATAATGATATTGAACCATAAAAGAAAAACAAAACTTTAAAATTGAATAAATTTATTTTGGGAAAAAATTATCTAAAAAATCATTAAACGTTACCAGTCTGATAATTTACATTACGCCAAATTGATGATTAGTTGATGGTAATAATTATCGTTGAACGAACACGTCAGCATATACAGCGAAATGGAGTGAAAAGAGTGGTAGAGACGGAGAAAGAACAGAATATTAATAAAGATGGAAAGAAGAAAGAAAAGCACAGAGAGAGAGAGATAAAAAAAATCCAATTGGTTCGCAACAATATAATGTTGCGCGAGCTTCATTAAGGTGACCGCGTGATCGTATCATAAAAATGAACAAAATATACAGCAAAGCGCAGGCACATCTGAAGCACAATAGCAAAATTGTCACGGTCAACGAAAAAAGAACAAAAAGTACAAAAAAACCGTCTGCCTCTGCCCACAGTTACAAAAACTTGCAATTTTGGAATAAAGTCTATGGACCAGTTAGATGTCGCTTAAAATACACAATTCGTCTCATTGAACACCGTTCTGTTTCTATGCAGACAATCAGCTGTTTATAAGTTAACCACAACAGTAGTGTTTGCATGGTGTCCGATATTCAAAAAGTTGATTTTATTGAAATGTCATGTTTCTGGTTTTATATCATCATTCGTCGTTTAATTTATGTTAGCACTTATAAATGCAAATCATTCCTATGAGCAAATCCAATTTTTTGTAGTTTAGAAATAAAACGCAATTCTTGATTTTCTATTCATTTCGGCAAGAGGAATCGAAAAAAAGTATCCAAATAGAGAGATGGATTTTTCGACTAAAGACATAGAAACAGATGTCAATGAAAAATAAATCAAATTGGGTCTATGTCATCTTATGTAATAAAACGAAGCATATAAACAAAAGTAATTGTATGTCATTTTCATCAAAATTATTTATTGTGACAAAAGCGATTGTTTTTAATCTTCAGAAACAGTAAATGGCACCTTTTCTCATCACAAATTTATGAACTAATCAATGTTAAAGACAAGAAGCGAGGCCTTGAAACGTATAAACGTTTTCGTTAAATTGGTACTACACCAATCGTCTATTTTTAATGTGAATATTCAATTTATCAATATCGATTTTTATGTTCGTATGTGGCTTGAATAATTTTCTATATTTTGTTTGGATACAGTATTATCGCTTTGATCGAATTTCAAATGTAAATTCAATAAAATGTGCAATCTATTTTGGAAAAAAAAAAAAAAAATGCTTGATAACAATTGAGAACATTTAATAGAAAACAAAACACAATCATTTTCTGTAAACAAATTGTAAATGCGTGTTCGTGTTTGGGAAGAGCGACAGTGTTATTGATTTAAAGCGGATTGTTGCTGTGTAGCGGCATGTACATGAGTTCAAAACGTGATATCATAAGACTTCATACTTCGTGCTCTCCCCTTCCCTCTCGCGCATATATTCATTTCATAGCGTTATGTGAATATATTTTTGGTGTATTTTTTCTTCGCTGTTGTCAATGCAATGCATTCAAAAATTGGGTCGACATTAATGAAAATCGATGCATTCGAAAAACTAAACTGAAATCCTTCTATGGTCTGGAAATTACATAGTGGAAATGAATGCGAACACTTTTTTTGCTCACACTCTGAAGAGTGTCCAGAATCGTTGATGTTACAAAGAAGAGCAAGAAACAGAAGACAATCATCTGTTCGGTTGTTTCATCGTTTTTCCGATTAAAAAAAAACATATCACCGGCAAACTTTAATAATCTATGATAATACTTACGGTAGTATATTTCTTCGTCATGACAGAATAGTTTCGTGTATTTTGCACCGTGATATTCGGTGCAGTACACAATACATGCTGCACTCGACAAGGGTAGTGCGATGCAGTTGATGTCGATCCATTGGCATGTGCATCAATGGCAAAGTGCAATCGATTAGCTGAGCTGATGACAGCCGTCGCTCCCATTCGCATCGTTGACAATTTTGAATGGAACATTTTTTTCTTATTCTTCTTTAAATCGACACTTCTTTTGCTCTGAATTGTTTCGTAAAAATCGACAGTTGGACGAACTTGAATCGGTTATTTGATTTTTTGAAATACACAATTCCAAAGTAAAATCAATCATTCGTTGTATTTGTTTTATTTTTTGTTCTCAATTTATACAGGCTATGTGAATATTAATTATTCAGAAGATTGATATATATAATGGCAATATTATTTATTGTTAAAAATAGATCACGTTTTTTTATGCAATTTATCTGCACCACCCGAACGATTTCGAAGAAAAGTGTTTCTTTGCGGATCAATTGCACTGGTCCAACTGAAATATGTAAACTATTTCACACAGCTGTCCACAGCTATATGTATTTCTTGTGGTCTTGAGCTAGCTGGTTAGCTACCAGTACTGAATGAATCGATGTTCAGCGACCGACTGAAATTTTATATTCTCGCGGTACCACTGCATAACAATCAAACACTATATGGATTTTAAGTATATGACTTATATCGTGTGAGCACGCTGCTGTATGTTGCGTCGGTTAGTTTTGTTATTGGCCCGTTTAAACGAACGAATCATACGATTCGGTTAAATACGTTTGCATCAACGCATACACATAATTCTCGCCGTTTTTTTTTTCGTGTAGAATGTGTAAAAGAAGTTCTATTTAAATTAGATTGTACACGTAGAACATACATAGACACAGCATATGTGGCACTGAACAAACAATAAAATAGATAAAAATACAAATGAATCAGAGTGATAAGATGAAGATGACAAATATTATATTCTTGCAAACTGTCGCGACTTTGTTTTGGTATGTTTTTTTTTATTTGATGATTATTTGCGAAATACACAAGTTTTTGCGTTAAAAAAATAAATACGCTTCGATTGGTTTAGGATGAGTTTTATGTGTGTTTATCGACCATTCAAAACGATCTCTGCGAGAGTAATAATTTCCGATGCAAAAAATAGCAATAACTATAATTTATTTTCGAAACATGTACTTTGCAATTTCTGCACACTTATAAGTTATGCATTACACGTTAGAAAAAAAGTTGCTACGTTTATTGCTTAATGTGAAACGTAGTTTTATACATTAAGCTATGGAATAGTAAGATATATATATATATATATATATATATATATATATATATATATTTGTTCAGTGATTTTAGAGAAAACCAGAAAAGATAGAGAGTTCGGGTTTTCGGCATTCGATAGGGCATAAAAAACCCTCCAGACGTATTTTTTATTTTCCCCATAAGTGCTCCCCATTTAATTTTTTCATTCATGGACCCTCTTTTTTGGATTCCACTTTGAAAAATATTTCGATTCCACTCACCATTTATTGAGTGGATAACGAATGGATTCGGGTGGAATTATTTTTCTCCGCAACTTTATTGGGTGGATAAACGATGGAATAAATGAGTTTTACTTCAGTGTTAATTTGATTACTTTGGATCTAGATGAAACTTGTTGAAAAAAAGTTGGAGACACCCGAGGCACCAAATTGTTTTAGATTCCTTATAAAATTACCTTTCGAATGGTATATAAATTATGGAGTTTCCGGCAGGTTTGATGGCATTTTACGCTGGCCGTTTGGCCGAAATATGAAAAATTATGAGAAAAATCGGCTTCCGAATCTTATAGCAAGCAACCTAGTTCTATGATTTTGATGAAACTTTGCCAGATGATAGCTCTTGGAACCCTCTTTCCAACGGTATATAGCTTATTAGCCAATCGAACTTGTGGATGTGTTTCCCAGGTGGCCGTAGATTGACGCTAGTGATATATCAATGATACTATTGATAGTTCGATATGAATAGCGTGCTATTGGTACATTTTAATTTTGTGACAACAACAATTTGGCTCTTCAATATTTTACCGCAAATGTAGAATCTAAAATATCAAAATAGAGCTCTATATTTGAAGGAATATATTGAAGAGAAATAATTGTTGTTGTCACAAAATTGAAATGTACCAATAGCACGATATTCATATCGTACTATCAATAGTACCATGATATATCACTAGCGTCATTCTATTCACTGCAAATTAGTGAAAATATTTGCAAAGTCAACTTTCAAGGGGAAATTTATTGCGGCATTTTCCTCTGATTACTTTGAATTTTAACATCTGAGTTTTCTGAGAGTAGTTTATGGGGTTTACTGCCTTTTTGAAGCTCAACTCCATAGGTGGCAATATAGCCAAAATGAGAAAAATATAGGTAAAGTACATTTTCGAGCTTCATTGCAAGCAACCTAGTTCTATGATTTTGATTAAATTTCGCCAGATGATAGCTCCCAAAGTCCTCTTTCTAACGCTATATAGCTTATTAGCCAATCAAACTTGTGAAGAGTTTTGGAATTTCAATTTAATTATGGCATTGACAAAAACCTTAGAGAAAAACGAAATCCATGTGATGCATTTATTAGGTAGTTCTGGACGTTCTCATTTCAGTAATTGAATTGAACGATTTCACCATTTATGGATCATCAGCGCAGCTTTCAAGAAAACCATCTATATAATTTATAGGATTTACTAACTTTTTGAAGTGGGAGCGCATAGGTAGTCGTTGAGGCAATATGAGGAAAATATTGGCAAAATCAATTTTCAAGGTGTAATTTATTTTAAAAAAATTGTGGCAAAAAATTCAAAATATGAATGTCGAGTAGTTTGTTTTTCTTAGTAGTACGGTTCCACGTTTCACATTAAGCTCTACGGCCAAAAACTGGCAGTGTATTCTAAATATAAGCGGACCATACGGACCAAAAGCATGCGATTCGCATGATGCGAACTGACTACAAATTCGACTCGGAAAAAACCGTCTTCTTATAAATGCTTCAAAAGGTGGTTCCTTGAAGTATTTTTGAGAATACTTAATTTCGTAAACTTTTGGAACACACTATGTATTCCTTCAAGAAATACAAAAAAAATGGTTAATGCAGTTCACATGTCTGATTGGATTTTTTTTACTGTAAGTAGTTTTTTGTTCCAATGACATGAAATAAAAATGAAATAAGATAGTTCCGCATTTCCGTATTGCACCGGTAATGTTTATCGACCATTGTTTTTTCGTTTTTATTTAATTTAATTGTGACACGTTGTCGTTAAATCGGCCATTCACCCATGCACGCATGCATTTATGACCTCCAAACATTTTTGATTCACGCGTCTTATGCATGATTCAAACGATTTTTTGTTGACCATCACTAAGTGTCTCGGTTCAATGCAAAGAGATAATTTTACTTTCACGCCATCGTCGAATAACAATGCAAATGCATTACATAATAACATTTTCGATGAATTATTACCTGTATATCGTTGCACGCTTTGATTTGTGATACAAAGTGTTTTTTTAGTTTGTCGTCCCAAACTGATATTCATGTCAACTGCGGTAATTACATATGAAAGGAGAGAGATAGAGTGAAATCATATGTTGAGCAATGAAATGCAATAAATGAAAAGAAATACACAAATTAGGTAAAGTAACTAAACGATCGCGATACGGTGTATGGCTTTGTCGTTTCCATTTCGTATTTGTATGCGGTGAGAAAATATTCATGCGTATCTCTATCGTTTGGGTTTTTTTTGCTTCTGTACTCTGTTTTTTTACTAATAAGCCGGTCTTAACGAATAAATTATTGAATGCACGAATTCATTTGTAGGAGAAAATGAGACAAAATTGCCATTGCATGCACAAATTTCACGCAATAATCTCATTTCAAGAATACAAATCGGGTATGTGCAATAGAAAAAGTGATTTTTAATTTGTTTGCACTAAAAAGTGGACTATATAGATTGAAAGTTTCGATTAGATGTTTGTAAAATTCATCAAAATTTAATTCTCTACAAAAACATGCTGCCCGAGTGGAATTTAATCAAAGTAAATTTTACAATGAACTATATCATACGTTTTATATATTGAACTATTAATTATGTCGCCATCGCATCGTTGGTTATGAATTAATTTTTCCTATACTTGTCTTCCTATCTCAGCTAGATAATACCGAAGTCCGAGCTGCTTGGCTGTATGCAACATGAACTATTGTTTCTTAATTGAATTTATTTGTTTATTACAAGTTTTAACAAAGATGATGAGCAATAATTTTGAAGAATGCATCAATAAATACGTAAATGGGCTTTGTTTGGAAGACAGGATGATTATCGGTTTTTAAAATAAAAATGAAGAAAATAGAAGAACAAATTACAATCATGCATTCATCACTATTAAATTCACATGAGTCACATGAAAAAAATGTCCGCATGCATATGAATGCACACTATCCTGTATCATCGCAAAAAGTGAGTTCATTCTTCATATTGAAATAAATTGATTGTTGAGTTATATTTTTCGCCCGGTGTTTACTTCACGCTTCCATGCACCATTTAGATCGTGTTTTCAAAATGGACGAAATTTTTATGAACGGACGAGATGCCGGTTCCGATGTTGTTTTGTAAATTTTCGATATGTTTTTCAAGAATGAATTCGACTGATGGACTCTTTTGATTGGCTGTATTTATACGCCAGGAAGTAATGCCGACAAAGCATTGAAAGTTCAATAGATTAATCAGTTGCCCATTTGAAAAACTCGAACAATCGAATATTTACCAAAAATTGCTATGCTTGACAAAATCTACTCCATTAACACGTGTACTATTGTCTTCATCTTCAACAAATTGTGAAAACACGACATTTAAAAAAAAATAATAAATTTAAAATACTTCAATTCTCTTTTCAATGTTCTGACTTCTATTATCATGGCAAACCTAAGCGAAAAATCTTCTTTCACCGATATTTGCAAGACTCTCAAACAATCGAATCAATACATTTTTTTTAAATTCCAAATACAAAATAAATACGTCTTTATTAATCATCGATAATGAAATAAAATATGAAAACACTATAAGAGGTTATGTTGTTAAGGGATGGAAATGTATTAACCTGGCATATTGTGTTTATTTCATTGAATGGCAGAATAAGCTTCAGATCAAATGTTCAAAAAATAAACCAACATCGTTTCTTTATAATGAGAATATGACGATATAATAAATATAATGACGATATTTATAAATAAAAAAAGCCAACTCATAAAATTCTAGAAGCGGGTAAATGATGTATGGAAATTCAATTTAAATAAATCAAATGAAACAACGAACATAAAAACATTTCGTAATTTTAAATTTAATTTTAATCAGTTGGACCAAAAAATCCCAAAAGATAATAATAAAATCAAACGAAGCTGACAATATTCATCATTGATGAAATATAAATGCAACAAATTAGCTTATTAATTACTTGTATGCAATAAAAAGTACAATTTTCCAAAAAAGAGGTTTTTTTCCATTTATTATATTGCCATCAAGTTTTTAGTTATGTTATTTTGAGATTTTTCGTGTAATTTGAAATTATTGTTTTTGAATCACGTTTTTCGTTCATTTATTTAACGAACGTTGACTTCACGTCATTCAAATTGATAACAGCGCCACTTGACAACGACAGTTTGCCTGAATGAAAAACTGTCGTAGCAAAACATTTAGTTTGCATTGAATCAGGCAGCTACTGATAGTTCATTCAGTGTTTTGCAATAAACCCGATTTGTACTGTGATTTAATCAGTACTCAATAAGAAAGCGCGTAAAATATGGTAAAAATTCTAAATGCATTTCTTATTGTATTAAAATACGATTAATATGGTTATTGGTTTGTGTCAGCAAATGTGCTCAGCTTGAGCAAAACACATTTGCAGCTACCGTGGAGTATAATAAGTGCTTTTTCAAAATATAAAATTTAATATTTTATGTGTTATTCGATGAGTTTTCAACAGATGAAGTGTGCACTATTCTAAACAATCAATTTTGTTTAGTAATTTATCTTTAAAAATACTGCATGTTTACGCAGACAAAATGTCCAAATATGGACTATTCAATGTGGCCAAATGTGAAGTTTTACTGTATTAAATACATTGTTGAATAAGAGAGTGTTGTCCACGTTTTGTTTTTTTGAAAAATATACATCTCTACTGATGGCCATACATAATTATGTTCTATATTTCGTGTTGATAGTAATTAGAGATTTCTATTGAGTTAGAGCATTTATTTTTAATTGCATTTTTTTAATAATTAGAAAAAATATGACAAGATTTTTTTTAAAGGCGGTGGTCATTCCAAAGGTTGGGCGAAACGTGCCAAAAAAAAAACTTTTTATAAAAGAAATAAATCGTGATATTTTTCGGGAGTATGTGAAATAATATTGAATGAAACATGAAAAAAGCATTTAATATCAATCGTTCGATAAAATTGCTATGAAATTAGAGGCACAATCACCTTGTTGTCCTTCTACAAAACATAAATGGAACGAAATCGTATTGGCATTTCATAAAAAACGTTTCTGATAATTACATCACACTACTTGATTTGCCTTTCAAATGATGACTGTAATGTCATGCAAATCGTTCGCTTAATCACCCGATTGAATTCAAAGTCATTGCGTATGTATGACCATTGGCATACTCTAAAATCGGCGTTTTGATCTACAATCGATTATATGCACAATGTGATAACATTCTCTTCGGGTGGCAGAAAATGTTAAAGAGATAATACGAGCAACTGTTATATTCAGCTCTTTTTAATCACGCTCCTTATTTATGATTTTCAAAAATTACCACGGCGCTGATTTCAAGAACTATGTCAATTTATTTCTGCTTGAGTTATCATAATTCAATTGATTTTCTTTTTTGGTAGTTGTTGATGTTGCAAAAAAAAATCAAGAGCAGTGCAAGATTTATTAATATTTTCGAACAAAACTGTTTACAGCGCCACATTATAATGTGACGTTTCCATATAGTGTCGAATGCAAACCATAACATATTCCATTCAAGATTCAACAGTATGATCTTTGGACTTTTGTTACGATAAGTTTAGCGAACGTTCGAGTGACACTTCAATCGGCCTCCTTTGTTCCTTTAATTTCAATGATATTTCGATATGATTACATTTATTACTATACATGACAATATATCATTTTTGAAATCAACGTCATTTTTTCGTCAACCATACACGTTTACATAGTACTCAGTTCAATGATTACACATGTGAATACACTTTTCATTTCGTAATTTAAAAACTAAAAATAAATAAAAAAGTCATTGTTGACTTGATTTAATGATATTTATTATTTGAATCTAAAAAATTTCCTCAACATTATATAAATTGTATTACAGGTACATATGTTATTGAATGTTTGACCGCAATTGTAAATAAGATTCCGCACAAAAATGGATTTATTGGCTCAATTTAAAAGTTCGAACGTTGTTCACCTGTGCTTGGCAATTTCGTATTTTACATCTGGACTCATAATAAATATTGTACAATGTATATTGTTCTATGGACTGAAACCATTCAATAAGAGATTGTATCGCCGTATCGGCTACTATTTATGCTACTCATTTTACAGCCGTAAGTATAAACATATTTCTTCTTGTCGATTGTTTTCAAAGTTTCAAACATTTAAATTGTAATGCAATCACATCTCGTGTCTTCTTTTTCTCAATTTTCATTTATTCAGAAATGGTTTTCATTGCCGATTGGTGGTCAGGCTCGAAATTGTACGTCTATTGTGATGAAGACATTCGGAAAAAGTACTTAGGCAAAGAGCATGCATTGTTATTAATGAACCATACATATGACGTTGATTGGTTAATTGGATGGATGCTGTGCGAAAAAGTCGGTGTGCTTGGCAATTGCAAGGCATATGCAAAAAAAGTGATTCAATACATTCCAGCTATTGGTTGGTCATGGAAATTTGCTGAGTTTGTCTTTTTGGAGCGATCATTTGATAAAGACAAGGAGATTATTGGACGACAAATAAATGAAATCTTCGATTATCCAGACCCGGTTTGGGTATGTCCTTTTTCCATCCGAATGTATTTCGATAACATTCTGATGATTTTAATCGATTTTTTATTTTTCATTTAGCTATTGCTAAACGCCGAAGGAACACGTTTTACTGAAACAAAACATGAAGCATCCGTAAAATTCGCACAAGAACGTGGCATGACCGTTTTGAAACATCATTTAATTCCACGCACAAAGGGTTTCACTGCCAGTCTACCATCATTGAAAGCAAAATGCCCATCGATTCTAGATATTCAGCTTGCATTTAAAAAAACTGACAAGATCGAACCAACCATTGGTAATTTATTACATGGACGTGGTGTCACTGGATACATGCATGTTCGTCGCATTGATATGAAATCATTACCCGATAATGAAGAAGAAGCTGCTGAATGGATGCAAGATTTATTCCGTTTTAAAGATAAACTTCAAGATAGTTTTCATACACACGGTGATTTCTTTAAAGGCACTGGATTGACTCCCGTTGAACCGGTATGTGTGGAAAATTGATTTAATTTCACTTAAAACAAAACAATAACATTTAACATTTCATTAATTTACGTTAGATTGTGTACAAGCCAACCATTGGTACTCTTGGAAATCTTGTGTTTTGGGCCATCGTTACGCTAGTGCCAATGTTATACTATCTTATTGGTCTTTTGTTTAGTGGGAAATTGTTATACTTTCTAATTGGCGTAACCATTATCGGAGTGTGTAAGTATAAACTATAATATAAATCGAATATTGATTAAATCGTTAACTAATTCTTATTATATTTATTTTTTTAGTCTATGTTTTGATGCAGAAAGCTATTGGAATGTCGAAAATAAGTAAAGGGTCATCATATGGTGCCACTACAAAGAATAGTAGTTAAATTCCAACGTAATTGTTATTAATTGTTAATTTAAAACAATGAAAAAAATACACAGTTTTTTGAATAAATTTTTTTTTTGTTCAATCCCAATTATCATCAAATATCAAATGACATGAACCGAGCCCTTTTAATGAATGCTTCATTTGAAAAATATATTTAACAAAAACTATTAAATAACTTAAAGACAAGATTGACTATATACTTATTTTTTTTCTTCATAATATTCCGTTTTGAGTGGAATTGTAAGGAATTTTGTTACACCAGTGACTGGATTAATCGGATTCTCGTCTTTTTTTGTTGTGTTTAAGCTCTTTGAGGTAAGAAGAAGAAGAATCGAGAATCATTTAGCTTGAAGAAAAATTTTTATTCGCAAGTGATAAACACGCAGACATGCTTTCTGTTCTGTTTTTCGTTCCGGATAATCAGTCTCATGTTTTATGGCTTTAGTCGAAATCGGATTTTTGTTTTGATGGAAGACTCTTCTGGAATTGATTAAAATGTAATTGGTATTGGTATTTTACTCTTTCAATGCCATATTTTTTTTAATTTTATTTAAAAAGTTAAAAAAAATTTAAAAGAAGGCATGAAACCGTTCTCACTTTGTCCTCATTATTAGTTCAAAATATGGTTTTTTTTACTTGAATAAAGAATAACGCGTAGAAATTCGGTTGGGCTCGATGAATCTAAAATTTAATTAAAATAAAAAATCCATATTTTCAAGGCGTATTTTAAGTATATTTTTATGTTTTTTTATACATTCTTTTTTGCCAAAAATGTGTATTTTGTATATATGTTTTAGTTCAATGTTTAATCAATTTTCTTAAAAAAGCGGTCCAATACCCCACTTCTGTACGCAGAAGATAAATAGATATAACAAAAACATGAATTTTCGCCATGGAATTTTTTTTTATTTTGGTTTCAGTTTTTTGTTCATTAACTTAAATTCAAGATAATAAAAATTTTCAACTAAACATAATACTGAATCTTCTATTTAATGATTTTTACTCACTGAAGTATATATTTTAAAACCTTAAGTTCAAGACAATACAAATTCAATGTTATGTTTAGCTCTTAGATGCTTAGATGATTACACAGAGAGAAATATTTGTGTAGGGTAACTCGCACTTGCGGTGTTAGCAGAGCATCTAACCCTCAAAATGAGTTACGCACTCTCTTTTACTCTATTTTTGGTGTTAATTTCATCCAAGTGAACGCATCATAGTGAAAGAAGAGATACTATTTAGTCATAGCCGCATGCGTTCAAAGTTATATATGACTACACGTGTATTTCTTCTTTCACTATGATGTGTAACTGATTTTGAAGGGTAGATGCTCTGCTAACACTGCAAGTGCGAGTCACCCTACTCAAATATTTCGCTCTGTGTAGCTTTTAAAACATTCCGACCACTTTAAAACATTGGTATCCATCTTATCTTGAGAATAACTTATTTACATAAGTAAATTCCACCGGCATAAATGCCATGTGTTTAATCAAAATAGAAATATTGTGATAATAAATTGCCGAACATTCTATAAAGTGAATTCTATTTCAAATTATTTTTCGCTGATGTTTTTAACAAACATACAATTATTCAATTGAAACTTATTTAATAAGTGATCTTACCAGATTTTTGCAATAAAAACGACGATGTAAAAAAAAGTCAGACGATTTAAATGAGTGTGCGCTTTAATGAGTGCACCCAATGGGTTTTCTTAGCCAATTCAAAAGTAGTGTGCGTATTCAATTTTCATAAAATTCTAATTAGTTTAGACAAAGAAAAACATAATACACAAATCTTAAACAAATCTAAAAATGTCGCATTAAGATTAGAATATGAGTTACGTTTAATTTAAATTTTAATTAAATTTTTGTGTTTTCTTTCATAAAATGGGACGTTTATCAAAGTAAAAAGAGGTTTTAAAAATTCGAGGAATTATTTTAAATTGTTTTGTATGTTTCTCAAAATTGCACTAACAAATGTTGCTGTTTAACGGGTGCAGTTTGATGCACATTTTTATGAAGACATTTTATTTGTTGGACAAAAAACGATTCTATTGTTTTCTAGCGACTCTATTTCGATTTTATTGATTGTGGTTGTTGTTAGGGGTCTTCAGTTTGATTCTCAATAATATAGGCAGTGAAAAAGTGATTTGTGAATGATTCATTTTTTGTCCGGGGAATGGTTTTTCTCTTTGTATTTTTCGAATAAAACTGTTAATTTTATTGCTTGTGGCCTTTGTTAATGTGTTATATTTTCTACTCTTTAGGCTCGGTCAGTACATTTCTAAATGATTTCGATTTAAAATGAATCATGCACGTTCGTTCAATCTCAAAATGTAGAATGCAAAACTTAATTTTACGAGAAAAAAAAAAATAAACTGTCGACGCTCATTTAGATGATTGACAAATGAATGAAATTATTGTGTGTATGTCTTTTTCTTTCTCTGTCGAATGTTGTTGTGAAAATGAGCCCCATTCAATAGGGCCAACGATGTCACTTCTTGATTAATTTTCTAGTTCGTGCTCGAGCTTCTTGTCGCGTCACCGTGTACTCAAACCACAAAATATTTGGTATCAGTGTTGTATCTCTCAGCAATAAATATTCCGATAATTTCCATGATACGATCGTTGGAAATAACGGTGTTAAAATTAGATGAGTTAATGTAAACCACAATAATCCAGTGATGATGCCAATCAATGAGCCGACAATCACTTGATTCCATGTATGGTACTGCAAATATGTTCTACTTAAACACACTAGCGCCGTCAAACACCAACATGACACTAAAACTAATAATCGGCCGGCACGCTCCAGCGGCAATAAGGTGTTATTATTAATGTGATGCAGCCTGAAAATGAATCAAATTAAGAAAAAGCACAATTTTAATATTTATAGACGGCGATAAAGACTTACCTTATGAAAATGAATAGAGTGACATATGTGGAAAAGAACCAGATAAATTGTGAGTGACTGGATGGCATTCCAAATTCCGTTCCAATATGTACCCGATTGATTGGTCTGGGCTCTCGAATCCAATGCTTTAATATTATATTGCTAACTTCATTTACTAAGGTTCCAATAAAAAATGCTATCTGAAACAATTACACAGAGAAACAAATTACATTTAACACAAACAAATCAGATAAAATTGATAAAAAAAACTTACTGTATGCAAATCTCTACGAAACAGAATTAGTGTAACGAAACCAGCTCCAATTCCCATTGGCGCCAAACTAATCCACGCCAATAATTGGCCGAAAAGGTCACCTGTAAATTGATTGAAGCATTGTTTTTGAGAATTTTTCATTTGTCGATTAATCACTAAAACAAGAGTGCCTTTTTAATTAAATTCACGTCGAATTAATTTTGAACTGCACATTGAATTCCATTTAAATGCAAAAAATTAAAATTAAATACACAAGTAAAAGTGATTATCAAATGAGGTATTGTTTTGATTATCTTCACAAATGAATGTTACCGCGCACACACACGTACGCATACAGCCAAATACACAATGATAAAAATAATAATAAAAAAATGGGAAATTTATTGAATATGTGGAAGCATTAATGTAATTAAATGATAAAACCGAAAATGGTCAATTTTCATTCGTAATGGTGCACGCATCTTCTGCGGTATACAATGGTATTCTTGTGCCCAAAGATAGAAATGGTGATATATGCGAATGTGGCACCCATTCGCATAGACGACACATAAACATTCAAACAAATAAATGCACGACTACGGAAACGATGAAAATTGTGCGAATTACCTTTTGGATATTCAACATGGGTAAATGTGATTGGTTTCCAGTCAAAACTATTATAAATTAAATTATTATTTTGCGCTAATAAATTCGTGTCATCAGTGTTCGACGACATTTTTGCTCTTGACACATGTCACACACTCGGTACGAGTTCAACATCAAACACTCAAAAGTGTAAATGTCAAAGTAAAATGCATGCAATGTATACAAAGTATTTGACACATACTTAAGTGGCCAAAAGTATTGCAATCGTTGAATTTAAATTTCATGGGAAATGTGCAGGCATTGCAACCAGAATCAAAAATGAAATGAATCATTGGAACAACATCAAATATTCAGTTCTTCTTTTTGTTTTTATTTCGTTTGAATGTTAAATGTGCATATATAGTTGTGCAATGCGGATATATGAAGAGGTTTGTTATTTATTGGCTGGATATATTTACATATTATTACAAGTACAAGGTAATTAATTTAACACCCAAATGAAAATGTGAATTATTAACGGCACTTTTCGGGCACCGATGATCACATCATATATATTTTTTTAAATTTAAATTGTATCAATAATTGGCAAAAATTAACAAATTGCATGCTTGCCGAACTTCGGACATTTTCCCATGTCGAGTTGAATGTATTTAATGAACGGCTTTGGATAGATGCTTCATTTCTTAATTTTGAAATATCGATATTCGTCTCATTCATGGTCATGTATATTTTGTCTCTATCTCGTCATCGTTGAATCAAATTATAATTGAATGATTGTGATGATGTGTGATGGTGATAGCGAGCAATGGATATGCGCACGTGTGTGTATATGTGTTAGAGTATGTGTTTATTTGTGCCATACAGTTGTGTGTACGTGTTTGTTAAATTGTTTGGTGCAAATGTATTGATCACCATCATCATCGTACATTAATTCGCACTTGTATTACTCACACTGAAAGAAAAGCGAGAAGAGAACTGAACGAAAGGAATATAATCGTAGATCGATATTTCAATGACATTAATTAATCGAATAAAATGTGCATTTTCTAAAGCATTGAAAGCGACTTTGTTTGCCGATGCGAAATTTCTCGAGCCGAAAAATTGATGTCTATTCACAAAAATTTGATAATAATTTTTCGTCTCTTTTCCACTACTAAGACACACACACAAAAATGGTCAATTAAATTGTAATCGGTGTGTTCTAACACAAATGAACGGCAAAATATTGGGAAAAAAATTGTGTGCAAACGAAAGAAAGCATGTTTGTCAATTGGCTCTTTGACGGCAGTGAAAATGAGATGGTCATATATATATATTTTGGCATAAACAATACTCCGTTCGGCAAATGTACATATATAGAATGTCGCATACACACATACTCACCGTACACACACGTACTCTGGCATTTATTGCATGACAGTTAAGTATTGAATTACCCTGTCTATGACACAGTGTTGCTGTTGTTTGCGTACGCGCATTATACACATCGATGTATGTGTGCATGACATGTTGATTGTGTGCTTGTGCACTCGTGCATTTGTATGAGTATTCGTTGGTTAGTTGGTTGGTTGGTTATTTGGTTGGTTTTCTCGTCGCTTATGTGCGTAGTGAGTGCTCGACGAAGATTGAAACAGAAGTAGGAAAACGCACATACAATTAAAATAAGATGACTTTTTCTCTCTTCGGTTCGTTGTGATTGCATACAGAAGTTGAATTTTAGTTTAATTTTTTTTACAATGAAAATAGTGAATCGATTCCAAAATACACACCGATAAGTTATACTAGAGCTAACAAGGAGACACCACAACAGCCAAAACAACAACAACAAAAACTAATAAAAAAAATAAGGGAAAAGTGAACGGAGTGTGTCGTGAAAAATAAAAAAAAAATCGGTGTAGAAGGAAAAAACACGGACCCACTAATCATTTTCATTCGGTATACTGATTTGGTTGGAATTCGTTTATGTATTATCTTCTACGTATTCTTCCAAATGCGGGTTCCTATATAATTTACGGACTATTTGCTTAAATCCACGGCTGAATAAAAAAACAATTAGCTCGTCTTATTATAAAACATTCACATTTTAATTCACGCTATTCGCGCAATTGACCTCCGTCTCCCGCTAAATAAATCCCGGTGTTTTGCACGAAAATGCTTCAATGTCTAAATAAAACAATACGATAGACCAAAAAATTGTACAAGCAAATTAATTTTTGATTTAGGTAATATCGAATACCAAATATTGAAATTAAATATATTATATATTTAAAAACAACAACAAGTGACATAAAATTACGAACTTAAATCAAAATTCGAGCAAGACAGAAAAAAGAAAAATCGCGTGTGAGTGTTTATAAATGTGAATTTCATTGAATGAAAAAAGACCAACGATCACGCGAATTATTATACATCTCTATTTTGTGCAAAGTGAATAGAGAGCAGATCGACGAAAAGGAGAATGATGTTAAATCTGGATTAGAAGTGCAATTTTTTAAATGTAAATACCAGAATCATAAAATCGATTTTTTTTTCTAGTTCACTTTTTTTTGTCGTAAATAGTTTGAACTATTCGAATTATAATTTTGAATTTGTTAGTCAAGCACATTCGCTCATTAACAGGCGCAACAGAACAAGAAAAAAAGAAATAGAATTCAAGTATACATATATAGATAAAATATAGTGAAAGAAGTCCTCAGTTTTAATAGTTGGTAGCACCAATAATAATATACTTTGAAATGCATATAAATCCATCAAGTCATTGACAGCATAGAGAATGAATGGCTCGAAGCGTTCAAGTCGAAGAGATAAAAAGACCATACATATTATTCTACATGAATAAGCGAAGAAAAAAACATACACACACACAAATCTATGGTAATAAAAAAAAATTGAGCAAACTGTAAAAATCGAATATGTGGAGACAAAAGTAGTGAACAATATTTCACACGAAAAAAAGCAGCAGCAGCACTTAGAGAATCGAATGCACCAAATGGAAAATCAAATCAAATGAACAGAAAAAATATCGCATTCTGTGGTTGTTAATTATTTGAATTGTATTGCATGTGCGCTTTCTTTCTCTTCCTCTCTTTTCGCTGAATTTTGTGTGCGTTCTCAATTTTCATGATTTTTCTTGGTAATTTGCGTGAGTTTTTTTTTTCTCGACCATTTCTTTCTATCGCTCTCTTCATCATTTTAATTACTTTTTCCTGTGAGAGTGCGCGCATTCGCACATTGAAAACCGTCCTTGTCATTTAATTTAATTACAAACAACTCGAAATAATTCACAGATACTTGAATTTTATATATATATATGTTTTGTGAAGCTTGCAAGTGGAAATTTGATTCGAAAACATCGTTGTAATTTTAACATTTATTGCTTGATTGCTTAACTAAATCTCCCCTTCTTCCACTCTCTATATCGCAGTCGATCGCAATTGAGATTTTACGTAAAAAATTGATTTTGCCATTAGCTGCTGCTGCGATTGCTCTACCTTACTTTTCAATTTTCTTTATCTAAGTTCGTTTTTATATTCTCGTTCGCTTTGACAACATCATTGAAACTTAATTCGGAAATTTCGTTCAAACGAACGAACAAACGACAGACATTTCGCATTCCAAACTTGAAATACACACACACATTTTTTTTTCTTCGCCTTTTTTTTGTCACTTTGCAAAGCTTGTCGAAAAGTTCGATTGAAATGAAATCGAGGCACACAGTAAGTGATTTTCATTTGCCAATTCACTTGAATTGAAAAGCGAAAATGAATAAATTCTCATTAGCAAATCAAACGATTTTTTCAAACACACAGCACCCGGTTAGTTTTTTGTCCCGCTCTCCTCAAATTGATCTCGATATTATATATAAATATATATATATAAAAATAAGCCTAAAGCAAGTCGAACAATGAGATTATTGGCGCAGAGTGCTTAACAAGGGCAAGCAAAGTAGTCATACGTACAAGCGAAAAAAACCCAAACAACAGCAACAAAATCAGTAGCAGTAAATGAACGAATATAAAAAAGATACGATTAATTCTAATTTACACATCGTCTACCCGTTTCGGTTCCGATGTGAACATTTGCATTTTACTCTTAGCGTGTAAAGTACAAGTGTTCATTGGTGATATCGAATTGTTGTTGATGCTTGTATCCGTAATGTCTGATTGCGATTCAAAATTTTGAAAAAAAAAAAAAAAAAACAAATAATGAAAAAAAAAACATTAATGTACGAAATTAATTGAGCTGTTCGATAAGTTTTAAAGATGTAGATCTTTGTTGTGTCACAACAATATTAAAAGTGACAAAACAAAGATAACACAGCAACTGTAAAACTGTTCAATTTCTATGAAGCAAACTGACATCGGAAGTTAAACGATGCTTTTGAGTCGGCTACTTTAAATTGTTTTGCCGAATGAAAATGTTGACAATTCGTACGAACGTTTGTTGGGCTCTTTTATAAAATTGAACGGGAGCGATTCACCATCAAATTTATGTTATTGTATGGTTGAATGAAGTTAGTTGGTTATGTTTTATTTGGTTGTTGTTGTCGTTGTTTAGCTGTTTTTATTGTATCGTCGTACATTCGATTCTGATGATTCGACTAACTATAGCTATACTCATTGTATAACTGAAAGAGCTCGCGCAACTTGATTGCATAAATCACGGAAGAACCTTCAGTTCGACAAACAAATGAATAAATATAGTGAATATATAGTAATATAGTATGTATTCCAAGTGCTCGTCATTTGTGGTACCATTATAGCCACTATTTTCACTGTAAACACTGAGCAATCAACGTAACTCGCTCTCTCTCTCTCTCTTCTTTCTCTCGCTTGCTCTTGTATTCAATATATTTCGTTGCAAAAAGTATTTAAAACTGGAAACTCAGTTTCTTTTCCTCTCTCACTCTATCTTCGCGTCACTGCTTTAAGTTGCGTCGCAAACTTGCTCTTTAAATTCGGATAAAATTTTCGAAATAATCGGTTACTCGTTGACAATTTTGTTTTAAACGATTCACCACACAATGCATTTTTCCCTTTTTTATTAATAATTGATAAATGTAACAACGCACAAACAAAATACGATCGCATTGATTTAAATTTCAATATACGAATTGATTTTTAATGTAATGCACATAAATATGTCTGTCTATAATGAGGTGATTGGACATTTTTTTCATATATTTTATCGGTTTCAACCATTTGATATTTGTTAAAATGCATTTTGCGATGGCGAGAGAAATGAGGAGAGATGTGATTTTTTTGATGATATTAATTTGTTGTCTAAATATTCTAATCGATAATATAGAGCATTATCAATTTTTTTTGGAATACGTAGGTTGCTCCATAATTTTTTTTAAAATGGTACTTATAGTGTTGCCCGATGTAAACCATTGTCATATTCGTAAAGTTTGATGTTTTGGTATGTATTCGTGCCCTGAACCTTTTGTCGTACGAACGCTATTTGTATTGTTTACAGTGACTGGTAAACTGCGACTCAACAAAAAAATGAATTTTACACGTGAAGATTTTCGTAAAATGATTTACTACGATTTTCGAAGTAAATTATCTCAACAACAGTGTTTCGATCGACTTCATTTGGCCTTTGGCAATGAAGCACCAACCCTTCAGACAATTTATAACTGGTACCGAGAATTCCGTTGCGGTCGTAGTTCGCTCAAAGACGAGTTTCATACAGGTCGTCCAAAATCGGCTGTTGTGCCACAAAACATCGATGCTGTCAGAAAACTGATTATGGAAGATCGTCATGTGACCTACCGTGAGATTGAGGCATCTTTGGGCATTTCATCCCACAGCATACATACAATTTTGCATGAACATTTAGCCGTAAAAAAGATTTGCTCTCGTTGGATCCCACATAAATTGACCGATGAACAAAAAATGGCTCGTGTGAGTTGGTGTAAAGAAATGCTCAAGAAATTCAATCGTGGTGCTTCAAAAGACGTTAATAAAATCGTCACTGGTGGCGAATCATGGATCTACGCGTATGAGCCCGAAACTAAACAGCAGTCGACTGTATGGGTCTTTCAAAGTGAAGATAACCCAACAAAAGTTGTTCGAGCTCGAAGTGTTGCGAAGCAAATGGTCGCCTGTTTTTTCGCGATAAGTGGTCATGTGGCAACCGTTCCACTAGAGGATCGTAAGACCGTCAATTCTGATTGGTATACCACCATTTGTTTGCCCGAAGTGTTTGGTGAAATAAGAAAAAACAACCACCGTCGCAAAATAATTCTTCATCACGATAATGCGAGCTCTCACACATCTTTTCAAACTACTCGATTTTTGACCGGTCAAAACATCGAACTGATGGGTCATCCACCGTACAGTCCTGACCTGGCACCCAATGACTTTTTTTTGTTCCCAAGCGTGAAGAAAAAACTACGTGGTCAACGATTTTCGACACCAGAAGAAGCAGTTGAAGCGTTCAAAACACACGTTTTGGAGATATCAGTTTCGGAGTGGCACGAATGCTATGACAAATGGTTTCATCGAATGCAAAAGTGTATCGATCATCTCGGGGAATATTTTGAAAAACAATAAAACCATTTTCGACAAAAAACAACTGTGTTATATATGTTTTTAAAAAAAATTATGGAGCAACCCTCGTATTTCTGTTATTGACGTTTGGCCAATATATTTATCAGACCACTTAAAAATTCGTAATAATAATAATAAGCGGAAAAATTGGAGCTAGAATACGAACAAAGAAACGAAGCTCGCGCGGGTTTACTGGCTGGTGCACATACTAATTCTGTATTGTTTTCATTTTGTTGTTGTCATTATCGTCATCGTTATAGTTGGCGATGATTTTACTCTTTTTTCTTCTTCTTCTTTTTTTTTGTTGCAAAAGTTAATGATGTTTAATGTGCAAATGACGGAAGAAAAATATTTTCACATATGTTCGTTCACATCGTTCACATTGAGCGCGCAGGGTTTTATACACTGTGCATGCCATACCAATTAGATTGGCAGGGCAATTCATTGAAATGGTTCACGTTACATTGTTGCTGTATTTTTTTGCTTTCTTCATCTTGGTCTTTCGTTTCTAGCGTCTCTCCTTTATGATCACAATTTTGAAACGGTTCTCGTCACCTCTTGCCGACACATACCCTATATGTAAATTGCCTTTCCATAATGTATCATATAGTAATTTTTTTTATATTATTCACATCACAATTATAGAATTATAGACGGTGCCTACGAACGCAATGTGCATTTGAGCAAATACTACTCATTCTCTGTCGCGGGCGCACTATGCCAAAGCGCAAAGCGAAGTTTGAATAAGACGAAACAAGAACAATAAAGAAAGAAATATACTCTCATTGCATGTGAAGAAGAGGGAATGAAATAGAAATATATATATTTTTTTTAAAACGCCGCTCATATAAATAATAAAGAATGAGAAATAGAGAGTATGTATGGGGCTAGAAATAGAGAGTGTTTATGAGGCTATACTAACTAATTTAATAATACTGAT